TTCACTTTATATTTCAGTGGATTGATATACTTGCTATTATGATCACCCCAAGCTGGATCAGAGTTATGTTTTGCATTGCATTGCTCACACATGTACTTGTCGCATTCTTTACAATTGTAAAATGCAGGTGTCTCTTTATCCGCACAACATTGACAACTGAAATGTTAATTAATCAGTATAAGGCATGATTAATACACTTTGTTAAACGGCTAGACATGTAAGGCTACAGACTGAGCACTGAAAAAAGTGTATAGTAATACTTAAACGACAAACCTCAACAGAAGCTATTCCGATAAGTATTGATAAACATTGGTACAGGTGTAAAACAACCCTGCTTCTATAATCTCACGAAGTTTTAAATTTTCTGCCTATTTTAAGAATATACGTCAATCATTCAAGTAAATAAACTAATTAATCTTTGACACACTTAATTAACAGATCGAAAGTCGACCCTTGTAAACCTCAACCAATGACAACCACCGGATTAAATACTTCTGGCTTTGGACAAACACATAAATAAAGTATCAGACTCATCAGACGGAATCAACCACACAAGCAACTACATAATGCGAAAAAAGCTTCCTTGAAGTCTTAAAATTATGAAGTCTACTTCTTTTTTGATCTAAAAAGAACTATCAACCTATCTTTGTGTTTTTGGTTATTATGGTAAATAAATTCATAACACTGACTTTTATCTCAAGTTGTTTAATGCTTACCAAATAAGTGACTCTTGTCTTCTCAGTCCTACAATTTAAACAAAGAATTACAATTACACAAAGTTTACCAGATTATTGTCACTTATTCAGACCTTTAAAACAGTTATTCAATTGTTATTTCAAAAGCACATCTAATAGACTTGATAAAGGTTGCCGTATTTGGTATCTGGAAGACTTCAAATTTGTTGTTCTGGGCATGGGGTATTGATTGACATGACTTTTTTGTGTTTACGTATGGACGTGGAAATTTGCTTTCTATTGCTATATAAGTACTACATTTTAAAAAGGCAAAATTGCCCAGACGCCATTGATTAATTGGTGTTTATAAGTATAGTTCATCTTTATACCTTCAAAAGTTCTTAACATATTTATCTTCAGAGAAGATATCATATTTTAGTAAATAACATGGTCGATAGGTGAATGAAAACAGGATACTTTGCCACCTACCATCCGATAGTATGACTTTTAATTGTAGAAAAAGAGTCATCTTATGGTAATACAATCTGCAATATATGACGATAAAATGATGGCTTGTTATATACATAGTTCTGAGATGTTATCAAAGTTCCTAATGTTATAGTATACAATAAATATATTTATTAAAGGTATTGGTCACATGACGTAGTTACGGTCAAGTGATTGTTTACTATAAACACGTGTGTGTGTTTACATCAAGCACATGGTGTGTGTTTATGTTCTATTTGATTGGATGGCATATACCCGCAATGCGGTTTTTACGGGTATATGCGCTCATGAGATTCGTGAAAAGCATGATTAAGTATTACTTAAGGGGTTCGTTTGAGAAAATAAAGTTATTCGAAGTTTGCCTATAGTTAACGTAGCAGCAGTTCGTTATTGTGGTATGTCTGACTCCGAGAAACTTCTAGATTCTGACCATGAATCTTTGCCTGGTCCTAGTGTACATTCGTTGCCTAATGGTAGTTCTGCACATCATACTGGTAATAACGACTTGGTGGATACATTCTCGCTGTTTAAAACCTATCTTGACGGGAAGATCGCTACTCTTCACAAAGACTTGGCCGTTGGCAATGAGAACTTCGCTACCAAACTCAAGCAAGAAGTGTCAGTTAAACTTAAAGGTGAGGGTAACCAGATACAGTTCAATTTCAATTGTGAAATTATGGCCGACCTTGTTAAGCTTCAGAAGCGTATTCCTGATGAAGATGCAGCATGTCTTAAATTGGTATCTGGTGCTATCCTCAAAGTTAAGAAGCGTAATAAACTCATCCGCATTGCAGACAAATCTCCCGCAGGCTGGAAAACCGTCCGCGAATATGAGAGTGACGACCTTGCCTCCGACTCAGAAGATGAGAAACGCATTCGTTCTGCAGAAAGCCGTGCCATTAGGAGTATCAAGGAAAAGAAAAGACCTCATCCTTATAGAACCGTTACAGCTACTGTTTCTGCTCCTCCTGCTCCAATGCCCAATCAACACAATGTTCGACAAAACAATTATCAACAGCCGCCCTTTCGGACCAGCAGACGGAGGGAAACCTCATCTCATGACATCTGTTATAACTGCAACCAGCTTGGTCACTGGCGAACTCAGTGCCCCCTTTTCAGTACAAAACCAGCTGTCCCAGGGACTTCAAGGCAACAGAGTTAATGATAAGTATTTTGATACTACTTTTTTAGATGAAAGCAATCTTTACGGACAGTTTGAACTGTTTCTGTCACATGCTAAATATTTTGATAATATTGATATTTCATCTGTTGCAAAAGGGGTAAAATATAGTTTACGCAAGCATATACAATTCTGGAAACATATAGGTGCAAATGAATTTGTTATCAATACTATCCAACATGGTTACGTTATTCCATTTTTGCAGACTCCTACATCTATGTCATTTAAGAATAACAAATCTGCAAATGTCCATTCTAAATTTGTAAATGAAGCAATTTCAGAATTACTGAATATCGGATGTGTTATTGAAACTCCATTTCAACCGTTTGTTGTAAATCCGCTAAGTGTTGCAGTTCAAAGTTCGGGCAAAAAACGTCTGATTTTAGATTTAAGTGAACTGAATGTTTTTATTAAAAAAGAAAGAATAAAATTTGAGGACTGGAAAGTGGCTTTAAATTATTTCACAAAAGATTGCTATCAATTTAAATTTGATCTTAAGTCTGGATATTTTCATTATGACGTATGTACTAAACAACAAACATATTTAGGGTTTTGCTGGAACGAAAAATTTTACTGTTTTACAGTGTTAGCCTTTGGTCTATCATCTGCTCCATATCTATTCACAAAATGTCTACGACCAATCGTAAAATATTGGCGAGAAAATTGCGTAGATATTGTACTTTACTTAGATGATGGACTTGGAATGGGTAAAAATAAACAAGAAGCTTCCGAATGTTCATCTTTCGTGAAAACCTCCTTGTTAGAAGCAGGGTTTTTAATTAACATGGATAAATCTATTTTTGAGCCAGTACAATGTTTAGAGTGGTTAGGTTTAGTTTGGGATTCTTCTGATTTTTCAATTAGTATATCAGATAGACGGATTGATAATACACTTACATCATTGGTTGATATTTTGAGTAACTTTCCTAATTTCACAGCACGTAAATTGGCTCAGGTAACGGGAAAGGTAATTTCTATGTGTCCAGTCATGGGTAACATAACTAGTTTAATGACCCGTTATTTACACTGGGCAATTGAATACAGAGTAAAGTGGGATTTAAAGTTAATATTGGAATGTCCTGATTGTGTATTTAATGAGCTCACATTTTGGCTGAATAACATTAAAAGATTGAACAGAAAACATTTAGCAGGTTATTCTTTTCCTCACGTGCTTGTATATTCTGATGCCAGTAACGTAGCGGCTGGTGCTTACTCGATAGATATTGACTCTAATATTTTTCATCAGATGTGGACTTTACAAGAGTCCCTAAAGAGTTCTTCATGGAGAGAACTTCAAGCTATTTTGTTGGCTTTGATGTCGTTTAAGAACCGTTTAAGAAATAAATGTGTTAAATGGCATACAGATAATACTAACTGTGTTTCCATTGTTCAGAAAGGAAGTGCAAAAGTACATTTACAAGAGATAGCTATTAATATTTTTAAGTTGTGTTCTGAATTGAATATTACTTTAGATGTTGTTTGGATCCCGAGATCTAAGAATACAAAAGCTGATTATATTTCTAAAATGATTGATATAGAAGACTGGGGAACAAATAAAGAATTTTTTAAATTAGTAGATAATATGTGGGGTCCGCATACTGTGGACAGGTTTGCGAGTAATTTGAATAAAAAATTACCAAGATTTAATTCCAAATTCTGGAATCCAGGTGTTGAAGCAGTTGATGCGTTCACGCAAAATTGGAAAAATGAAGTAAATTGGATTGTTCCTCCAATTTCCGTTGTCTGTAGAGCAATCAAACATTTGATTTTATGTAAGGCTAGAGGCACTTTGATAGTTCCAAAGTGGCCTTCCTCGTCATATTGGACAATGATTTTTAAAAAAGGTTCGCATTTGCAACCCTATGTAACTGATGTTTTAGAATTTCAACCAAATCAGAACATTTTTATTCATGGTATGAATAATAAGTCCTTGTTGGGATCTTCTGAATTCGTTTCTAGTGTTTTAGCTATTAGATTGAACGCTCAGTTCATGTAAGAATTTACGACAAGGCTGTTGAGCAAGGTCGTATGGTAAAGACAAGGCCAATCTAATGGCAAGGTCGTATGCTGATGACAAGGCCAAATTAAATAGGCAAGGTCTCACCTGACATGGCCAGTGTGAAAAATAAATCTGGCAAGGTCATTTAAATATATTGTAAGCTAGTAGTAGTATAGTAGATTATATTTCTATTTGATATGCACGTTTTTCAGATATTTTTTCATGTGGAGTCTGGAAATCCTTGCCTAAGCCAGTTGACCAAGATTTATCATCTTTATCTAACTGCCTACCTGAGTTCTGTCTCCATTCGAAAGCCGAGAATACCAAAAGAAAATACTCTTATGCATTTAACAATTTCTGTAAGTGGTGTAATAACTATTCTTATGTTAAACCTTTACCAGCTTCAGATTTTTATGTTTCATTGTACTTAATACACATATCAAAGACATTTAACTCGTATGCTAAGGTTGAAGAAGCATATTATTCAATAAGCTGGGCTCACAAACTAGCTGGCTTTTCTAATCCGTGTAATTCACAGTTGTGTATATCGGTTAAAGAAGGAGCTCATAGAAAGATTGGACATATTATTGTAAATAAAAAAGAACCAATTACGCCAGATATTTTAAAGAAAATTGTTAATAAATATGGTAAAGAATGTAACAATCTTATAGAAATTAGAATTTGTTGTATGTGTCTTATTAGTTACGCAGGGTTTTTAAGATTTTCTGAAATGGTAAATTTAAAAAGATCTGATTTAAAATTTGCTGATACACATGTCTCTTTGCTCATACAGAAAAGCAAAACTGATCGTTATAGAGAAGGCACACAAGTTTTAATTGCTAGAACAGATACACAAACATGCCCTGTTAGTATGTTGGAGAAATATTTGTTATTATCCAATATAGATGCATCATCTTCAGATTATATATTTAGATCCATGTATTTATGTAAAAAATCTAGATCTTATAGACTGAGAGGTTTTAAACCTTTGTCATATACTAGAGTTAGAGAAATTATATTATCAGCTCTGGAATCTATCGGTTTAGATAAGTCAAAATTTGGATTACATAGCTTGAGATCAGGTGAAGCTACTGCAGCTGCATCAGCTGGCATTCATGATAGATTATTTAAGAAGCATGGTAGATGGGCTTCAGATAAAGCAAAAGATGGCTATGTAAGAGAAAATGTTAAAGAAAAACTGACAGTGTCTAAAAGTTTGGGAATTTAATTTTTATAGATATACTATATATGTGTATTATTCTTTGCTCAGATCTGCTTGGCTTTCTTTGTCTTTCGAAAGGCTGCTACACCTGTATAGGCACACTTATCCTATTTATGTGTTGTTTTATTTATTAAATAATTTATATTCGTTTGAGCTGGCGAATTAGAATATAAATATATTTATTAAAGGTATTGGTCACATGACGTAGTTACGGTCAAGTGATTGTTTACTATAAACACGTGTGTGTGTTTACATCAAGCACATGGTGTGTGTTTATGTTCTATTTGATTGGATGGCATATACCCGCAATGCGGTTTTTACGGGTATATGCGCTCATGAGATTCGTGAAAAGCATGATTAAGTATTACTTAAGGGGTTCGTTTGAGAAAATAAAGTTATTCGAAGTTTGCCTATAGTTAACGTAGCAGCAGTTCGTTATATGTTTACCCACCCACCCACCCCTTTTATGAGTTGGTTATTGTTAACGTGGGGATATACATATATTACACTATATTAATATGAATTTTTCCTCTTTTGTAGATAGTTTTTGATTGTGTTACTGTATATTCTATTATATGATTGGATTGGTAGTGTGCTTGTCTGAATTATAGTGAAGGACTTTAGTTTGAAGAATTGTGAATGTAAATAATATTAAAGGCTGCTACACCTGTATAGGCACACTTATCCTATTTATGTGTTGTTTTATTTATTAAATAATTTATATTCGTTTGAGCTGGCGAATTAGAATATAAGGTGTATTGTAACATGTGAAATAAAGAAATACGGTATGATTGTCAATGAGATAACTATTTACCAGAGACCATAGGACGAGAATGTAAACAACTATACCGGTTGACACCGTATAATCTTCAAAAATGAACAAAATCAATTCCATTTTCATTTATTCACTTACTATTAAGGATCTTTGATTAAAAATTTCATACGATATCTTACTTCCAAGTTGACATTTCTTAATTCTAAATTTGGCAGTTTTCAGTTTCAACTTTTCTCAATTAAATTTGGATCTCACAAATGTCATTTCAAACTGAGAAATATCAACTTAAAAGTGAAATATGTAGATTTTAAACTGATAAAAGTCAACACTCAATTGTCCACTCGAAAGAGATAAATATGAATCAGGGAATGTGGAAATGTCAATTTGGAACCTAGAAATATCAAAGTGAGAAATGTTAACTTGGAAATGATCAATGATATCTACAGAATGTCCCAACCGATTTTTCGTACACAAAAGTCGAATCTACCAAATTTTCTCGATACAAAATATTGGAAAAGTTTTATCGTATTAATCGATTGATGGCATGACAATAAAAACCCAAAAACTAAACATTAAAAAAGACAAATTGACAGTAAACCGGGGTTTTATTACATTAATTGTAAAGCAATTAAGGTCTATCTTCCTGAACACCAAGTGAAAATCGGCAATAACATACTCTTCACATTTATTTTGTCATAAGTAACAGCATATGAACATTTGAAAAGCGTTGGTTGAATGATGTGCAACTTATTGCACTGAAACGAAATAGTTTTTATTTTTCACCTAATCTAGGTTAATAGCAAAAGTACAAATCACCAATATCGAACTTTACCTCTATTCTGTTATCAGTAACAACATATTGAAATATAAAAAAGCATTATTTGAATAGTTCCAAAGTTATTTCACGGAAACGACATTAAGTGATATTTACGAATCAACCATGGACCGCAACTCCAAAAAGGAAGAAATGAGAATCGCCAATGTTGAAATTGACCTACATTTTATCATCAATAACAATAATTTTAATGAAAAGCACACAAAATGCAATTTCCCAAATCAATCAAGAGTCAAAACTACTGAACGGCAAACGTTAGTAGTCAATATCGAAGTTGATCTCTTTTCTATTGTCATCAGTACCAACATTACAAAGTTTGATTATTACTGGGTTAATGGTTTTTAAGTTGACGAAAATTTGAAATCACAGATATGTATTCGAAGTGATCGTTGTTTATGTAATATATTTTTTCAAGTAAATTGCCTGAACAATTCTACTAAATTTACCCAAGAAATCATATAATAGGACATGATATTTACAGATTTATTTTTTGATATACTTACTTGGTCTCAAGTACGATATTTCTCTCATCAAAGATGCTATTTTGATGTCTTTTGAACTACAATTTGAGCATTTTAAAAAAGTATTGCATTCGGTACATAGCGTTTGGTTTGCTTCAGAATCGGAACTGGGAAAGAGCGCGTCCTCATCTTCAAATTCATCTGCTAAAACATAAAATCACATATGTCAAAATTTGGAAGACAGTTTTGTTTTAGAAAAAGGGCGATACATTTCGATTTATCTTACGTGACTTAAAAAGTCACTTTATTTCACGAAAATGGTATTTTGGTATAAACTTTTTTTATCATGTAAAAAATCATAAGTGTTTCACTGGTAGACATGGTGGTCATCTATTACTTTAGGAACATAAACATAATATTTTTCATGTATTATTTGCACTTCTAATCTGTATCTTTTTCATATTTTTTTTAATCTTAGTTCATTGTTTTTTTTCTTTTAACTTATGTATGTCCTTATGCAGGTAGCATTTCTTATGAGTTCAACGAACAAAGTAGCTGAGGTTCTATAACAGGATATAATGTAAGCAGTCTACCTGTTCATCAAATTTGTCAATATCACATGTACATTAATGATCTCTTCCTATGAGTTTTAAAAGTACAACACTGTATTTGTTTAATATATATACAGCTCTACATCTTATCGAAGATGGATCATTATGCAACACCACAACTACAACGGTAAAAGTCGAAATGACATCCACAAATAGAACAGAAAAAACGGGGGATTCGAAATATTAAGGACTTCCTTATCCATGAGTTAACTCAATCGTGTAGATTTGTTGTTATTAAAATTGTATCACTAAAGTACTGTAGAATACCTGTATCCTGTCTTTTTGTATAAAAATCAAAGTCATTTAGCACTTTTTCTTGTCTGCCTCTGTTTGGTGATAACACAGAAGACATAACTAACACCTCATCTACAATTATATTTTCCAAAAGTTAAACTTTCCTATTAAGGTAGATCATAAGTATGTACTTTTTGGGATAGAATTTTCTTATACTTTGCCAAAAGGAAGATTTTACTATGCTTTTTTTGAAAAATATAATAAAAAGTATTGGTCACCGTGCTATTTTCCAAGCTATGAGTCGTTGAAAATTGCCTAAATTTGGTTAGATTGTTCATGAAAAAACACATTTGTGTGCATAAAAAAAATTCTATGAGATAAAATTTTGAAATAAATTGTAAGAAGATAGGTTTTATAATATGTTTTAAAAAAATAAAAATAAAAAATGGTGTCACCGAACTTGTTTTCTTGCTACAAGTAAAAATAAAAAATTTCCCTATCAGTCCAGTATATATTTTTTACTAAAAGAGTTATCTCCCCTTAAATGGCTTATTTGGAAAAAAAAAATGATTCTAAAAACACAAAATTTGATATTTATTTAAATATTTTGAATAATACAATACATCACCAAGTTTTCTTTTTATAAATAAACAATCTAACCATTAAATTGCAAATCTGTCTCAAAATTTGCAGATTTGGGCAAATAACTAGACCAATTTTGTACTGATATTGTACAATCCAAGATGGCGGTATACCATGAATCTACCTTAAACACGTTAAGAAATGATCAATCAGTTGGAAATTCTTTATCTGTACAGGAAATAAAAATGTTTTTTCTTTATATTCCATACAATTCATAAATTTAAAATTATTGAAAAAAAAGTGTTTTTGAATATTTTGTTATCTTAGAAAATACTGCAATGCCATTACGTTGGTGCCACTACTGGTGGACGTTTCGTCACCGGTGGTTTCATCAACCATTATATTAGAAATTCTATGTTATGCTAACATAAAATATCATTGATACAGTCATATTCTGAAAAATGATGATCATTAAACTTTTAAAGCATTCGTAAAACTAAGATATAAACAGTCTCGTAGTCAGCAAAAACGTTACCCTCCTATAAAAAGATAGACATACGTTAGAAGTGAGTGTGAACAGTTGCCAAATTAACTTTTTCAGACAGTCACTATATTGGTCAGAATATCATTAACGGTAACAATTTTACTGCATCAGATGTGCATTTTACTATTTATGTCTCTTCGCTGATGATCAAGGTCTAAATATTGAAAAATCCAAATCATAATGAAATGTTGAAGAGCCCATCAAACCACAAAGGATCTACAATATAGCCAAATCCGGACAAGACATCAGATCTGTGCCATACAAACATGCATATGGTAACTTAAATTGAAATGATTCGGTAACAAACATTTCTTAGGCAGACAAATGTTATTCTCAATGTGTTATATGTGATTCATACAGTTTACTTATTTTGTGTTATATCTCGTCTCACTATTTTTAATGTGTACCACCTTTGATAAGTTTCTAGAATGACGAAAAATTTTCACTTCTGTGCTCGTACTCTGAACAATAAATTTATTGATTTTGTAAAAAATGTTTACTTCCGTACTCTAAACCACAAAATTATTATATTTAAATTTACCTGTGTACGTTGTTTTATCTAACATCATTTTGTCGCAAGGTAGACTTGTCTTTTTGACAATGTTCCTACATTTTTGTTTACTACCTGTAACGTCTATGTTATTAAACACATACGTTTTAAAGGGGCATTAGCTGTCAAATTCAAGTTAACCGACTTGACTTAATTTCTCATATTTGATTTATAACATACTACCACGTATATCCAAATTATAAAAGTCTAAAATAAACAATTTTCAATGCTTGGGCTCGATAACATGTGTCAACATTTCGTGTGTATTTTAGTCTAGACGCCATCTAATTAACATCGAGGTGACCTCCGAAGACTGCAGATGGTTATATAACCCGATAAAAACATAAATATAGATATAAATAGATAGCGAACTCGTGCAATTGGATTTTCCAGGTCTGTTTGATTTTATAACACTTTTAATAACTGAACACGCCTAATTCATGCGTAACCCATCTCTAGCTAAGGGGTTAAATTGAAGGTCACGGGAATACGGATTCAATGAGGTCGAATTATTCACTTGCAAGTGAATAATTCATCAGCGATGTTTCTGAGCCTAATTTGACCAAATGGAACATAACTGGCTGCTAAAAGCAAATTATCATTTCACTATTTCACTTTCATTAATGATTTAACCAAAAAAATCATATTTCATTTTTTTTATATATCTCGTAGCTTATGCCCCTTTAATATTGTATTTATATTATGTAATAGATCAAACTAAATCGTTCAGTGTATGTTTACTTGTTTTTGTTTAAATGACTTTATGATCGAGTTAAGCCATTTCAATTGATATTTTATAGTGTGTCTTTTTATGTTGTAATGTTACACTATTGTCTCATGTTAGGGTGAAGGTTTGCGCCTGTTTAAACGGTTAACCCCGCTGCATTTTTTATGCACCTGTTCAGTGGTTGTCGTTTGTTGGTGCGGTTCATAAGTGTTTCTCGTTTCTCGTTTTTTATATAGATTAGACCGTTGGTTTTCCTATTTGAATTGTTTTACCCTTGTCATTTTGGGGCCCTTTATAGCTTGCTGCTCGATGTGAACTAAGGCTCCGTGTTGAAGACCGTACATTGACCTATAATTGTTAACTTGTTTATACATTGTGACTTGGATGGAGAGTTGTCTCATAGGCACTCATACCCTATCTTCTGAATTATAGTTATTTCAATACCTGGTGTTAACTGGCCTTGGAAAATCAACACCATATCAACTGTTCTCTCAATTTTGGTATCAATATTTCCAGCAGCAATTATCTTTTTTATCAAATTATATATAGCAAACTGTAATGCTTCTTCACTATTGAGTATTAGTCTTGAAACCTCAAGACCTAGTACTACACATTTATTCTCAATTGATCTTATCAGAATCTCTTCACTGGTACTATTAGGTTGATCTAGATTATTTGTCATAATTTCTGCATCGAATCCTTTGCCATCTATCCGGCAGCTCGCATTCATCATATCTGTGTCAATTTTATCTGCATAGAAAATAAAAATCTTAGAATAAAAAAAAACATCTGCACATGAAATTTTTTTCCTGTTTCAATCATTCAGAATTCAGAATTCGTATTTCAAAGAAAAAGATGGTCAATCATTTAAGCAACTATATACTAGTATGTAATCAAATATTGCTCCATATAAATTTTACACCGAATACAATATGTTATCTGTTATACTCAATTTAGACACTTTTTTCAACTTATTTATGATATGTTAATCACTGCGAAACTATACAATCTGTTTATTCTTTTATACCAAGAATTAAGTTTTAAAACTAAAACTACCTTCGTTTTTGGGGATTCGCACAAATGTGTGCAACATTGCTTTTATCTCTTGCACATCTCGTTGTATTCTACCTGAAAAAATAATGTCAACGTCTAAGAGAATTGTAAAGTGTTGTTTTCATTTTTTGCTGATTATCAATTATATCCCAACAACATAACTATATGTTCTTGTTTACCGGATTCGATAAGATACCAAATATCAATAATTTCTTGCCAACAGATACGCTATGCATGCAGACCCGCTTTAGTGCGTATGAAGCCTAGCGATCTAACGAATTACGCGTGATGCAAGACCCACTGACAATAATTAAGCCACTTAACTAAATTGCCTTAGATAAGCATATTTAGCATAACTTCTAAGTTTTTTCATCATTTATGTTTTGAAAATTCGCTATTGATTTGATTCTAAAACTGTTTCGGACGCCAATTCGAGTTTTCTATACTAAACGGGTATATCAAATGAGTTTTATATGTTGTTGATGTTGTATTGTCTTATATTTTCTCCTTTAGCTATGAGTTGTCTGTCTCTCTTCAAATATAGGCCAGTCTGAAATATGCATGAACTCATTGTCACTTGACGTTAAACAAGCAACAATCAACCTTGAGATCACAGGAGTATCATAACAATTCATTGTTTCAGAATTTAGTGCATTCTGAAAAAAAATTTCAAAGCGTACAAAAGAACGGTAAGATTTTTATAGGAACGGTCAAAACATTGGAAATTTCATCAATGGCTTGACCATGTTGTCATTATTTATCCTTTTTTGGGGTGCGAACAATGAAATTAAGAATGTTGCTAACAAAAGGTCTTCTATGAATCTCTCAAAAAATGCTTATTAAAGAAATCTGAAGTTTTTAAAGACACCAATACAATTTCCTTTTTTACAAAAAGTATGCTGCTGGAACGAGCTGAACCTTTAAAGCCCCCGGTTTTGTAGGGTAAGTTTTGCGAAGTCGTTATCTGTCTGTCTATTATTTCATTTACTTTGTATATGTTTTCCTTTTTTCCTGTCTGTTTTCTAAGACATAGGTTTATTTTTCTCCTTGTTAAATCCTACTTTTTTTTCAAACCACCAAATTTTAAATGAAAACAGAAATACAATACCTAAATCTATTGAGTTCAAGTGTTTTATCTGTTCTAGTTTTGATGAAAGAACCTGGAAGTAAAATATTATTCAAAAACATATGTTACATGATAAATATAAGCATGTAAGACAATCGTATTTTACTGTAGTATAAAGAATAATATTTCTATATAGGTTACAAAGAAATTACATCATATATCTGGTAATCTACACGTAGACAGAATTATTTACACTTCTTCATAAAACGAGTATGAGGTAATATGGAAAGGTATAACACTTTCGTTATTAGTTCGATATTCAAGGATTATGTACCCTTATGTACACTTTCTAGCGAACGCTTGGCAATAGTGACTCATCACGAGGTTTTATGGATAGTAAAGGTTTTTTTTACTTTTTGTAAACAATGAACGCTAGCACATCATGGCCAAGCAAGTGAGTAGTCTATGTTTAAAGTTTTATATCGAAAATCTCTGTAATAATGTCCGTGGATTACAAGCAAAAATCTTGGCTTTATTTGCTTCATTCTATTACATGCAATGAAGCAACTAATAGTATTGCTTTGAACAACGCTTCCCGTTGGTATATGTATAAAATGACATGTCACTTTAATATTGTATTTTTGCGGTTTTGATATTATAGGAAAATTTCGTAATACAATGACCTACAGAAGGGATCATACAATTATCGTAGACAAACCTATGTACCTGGAAAAGTTTTAGTGCATGGATGGACTTAAATAAATAAAACTCAAATGCATTTTATTTTTTAAAAATTTAAACCTTAATACCTAGATTTTGCTGTGCCTTTTTTCGTTCCTTCAGAAGGTGCTAAAATATACTTGGTTGATAAGAATGTCTCAGACGTTCCCCTTATGTATTCTAATTGTTGTGAACTGTATTGATAGACATGTACAATGGAGGACAATATCTATCTGCACAAATCAGGCCATAATCTTGCCGGCGAAATGACGATTTAAGTCGCCAACGAATTTTCAAAATCGCTAAATCTCGCCAGCCGACTGACTTCATGGCGAAGTCAAATCGCTATGAAAATCGGTAAAAGGGAGATAACTTGTGAATTACAAGTCTCCCAGGTAAAAAAAAAAATGGCGACTGACAAGGAAAATCGCAGCACAATAATAGGTGAATTAAACTGTGTAACTTAGTGAACCATAGCAAATGAAACTCGTGTGTTTATCATATTTTGCAGACTGGAAAAAGTGCATATTAAAATGTAAGCAAATTTTCAATTTTCAAAAACATAAAATCATGTAACTTTTATAAATCTTTGTCCAGTCATGCCTTAAATCTTTTCAAGGTGCATATGTTTGTCTGTACTTAGATTATTTATTTTTAGTGTAAACACGTCCATATTTTTCGATTCCTTTAGAATGATCCTTAGTCATTCATTTATCAATTTTCTGAGGTTGTTACGGTTTCATTTAATTCATTTTTTTAAATAACTAAACAGTTGACCGCCATTTGGTTACAGTAAAGATGCCACAGGAATACAGACACACACCTGAAGCAGAATTTATTTTTTTAATCCATGAGATGTAAAGATTAGATTTGCTAGACTTTAACTAAAAAGTAAAACCACCGGGTAAACATTGCAGAAACTGCTTTGAGTAATTTTTAAAAGGCCCCGACATGTCTTACGGTTTGGGTTTGATCATTGCTGAAAGCCGTATGACCACCTATAATTGCCTGAATCAACGTCGTTTTGGACTCTGTTGGAAAATTGTCGCATTGGAAATCATACCACATCTCCTTATTTTGAGAGTTGTTTTTTACACCTGTTTTGTCTGTATTCAGAGTAATTTTGTGCGATTTTTTTTATCTAATGAGTGTGATACCTCTTGTATATTTTCACTGGAATGTTTTACTACTTCTTTCAAATGCTCAAGTGATGTTTCTTCTTTTATTTTTTGTATCTCCGTCTTTACTTTCTTTTTGTGCGTTGAAGCTACAACACCAGCATAATTAAGTACATTATCCTCCAGAGTTTTCCACAGACCTTCAAATTCATTCATGTCCATACTACAGGAACCATGATGGGCAAGAACATTTCTAATATCTTTTATTTTGGTCAGCCAATTTGGGTCTCCAGGAATGCTGCCAACTGGGCAACACGTCCTAATTACAACATACATCAATGAAATATCCATACAATCCACGCTCACTTGCTGTTTAACAGTATACTGACACAGACAGTGTTCTTTTATATCGCCTTTACAATCTTTGTGTTCATGTGCAGTTGCGATCTGGCCTTTGCGTTCATATAGTGTATTAAATTGACCGTTATTCATATTTCCACGTTTATTTGACGCTACTAGTGATAGTTTTTTACATTCACAACAAGGTATCTTCGGAATTAATTGATGAAATAAAACATGCTTGTGTTGATTTAAAAACATATAAAATTCCAAACCATTTAGAACTTTCGTTTCAAAAAACAAATGAAGAACATCCATTGCTGGCCCAAGTGATAATGCCAACAGACGGAAATATAACTTTCGTCCCTCTATATCCATCTGAAAAAATGTGAAATGATGATAATTCGCCGTTTGTTCTTGATCATGTTGATATGATAAATTCCACAAATACAAAACAGTTAAACATAGAGATATTCAAAGTCATTTTGACCTTCATCTTTCAAAAATGACTTAGAAGCAATTAAATCACTTTAGGTCACTTCTTTCAAATTCTGTTATTCAGTTTATGTAATGCAAGTCGGCATGCATATCAGGAGACGCTTAACCAATGAAAACCACGCGCTATTGAAATCCGACAGAAATGTATATTTAGATATAGTCGTCTACAATATACATGTCGCATTTCAACGAGAAAAAGCGAGAAACACCTTGTAAAAACTATTCGGCTGATAGCCGATACACTGTAACAATGTGTAATTAGTCAACGTAGAATACTATTCAATATATCATGGACTTACTTGCTATCAATTATTTTCTGTCGGTATATTCTTCATTAAAACTTTGATTTGGCGATTCAAATTACGGTATCGAACATGTCACGCATCGAGTACGGCATTTAAAATGTTAAACTGCTCATGATGTAGTACATTTAAAATGAATTGATCACCGATACGGTTTTATTTATGATATTGAAAGACGTGTATTGGATGATCTTGATAATGATAAATGTACCTATTGAAAGAAATAATAGGTATATCGGTAAAGTTAAATTCAAATACTTTAAGGTTTAATGCATATAACATTTAATATTGGGTTACCAATTTTTACAAAGCTTGTCTACTTTATATATTGTTGCGATTTAAAATATGACAGACAGTATTTGATAAATAAATATAAATCGTGAACATGTCAACAAGTTCAACAACATATTCATCGCGATCAAAACATGAGAGGGAATTAAAATCAAGCGTTTTAAATCTTCGTTATTCACATTAGAAGATCGACCAGGATCTAAACTTCTAAAATGAAAGTTTGCCTTTAGGATGTTCGCTACTCTGTTTCATAATAACAAACTTTTTAGAAGTCTGTTATAAATTGATAGTATATAAATAAAAGAACTAAAAAAGCAGAAAAAATTAAAGGTCTGTGTGCTTGTTTTCGAGATATAAGCCATTAAAAATGTTGTAGGAAAAAAATTATTCTGTCTAGACTTTTTATACATTTAACATTGGCACCTGTTTTCTTTCAAAAACTATGAAGAAATAACAAGGATTTTTTTAAGATTTTCAAATATGGCTTTTAAAACTATATGTATTAAAACTATGAAAAGAAAAGTAGGAGTTAGCACTCAAAAATTTTTAATGGCACTACATGGATAAAACCAGAGGATTCCGAATATCTGACAAAAATTCAAAAAACAAGAGGAGCGAACATCCCTAATGAGGGGTTGTTGAGTACTTTGTAGCTACTGTACCCATTGTTCTTTATGGTAAATAAAGTCATATCCTCTAAGCTTTTAAGAACGAAACAATTATTTGAATGACCAATACAGACAATCTTTGTCTCAGTTGATCAGGAATACTCCATTTGACATAATCATGTACTTGTCTTCCTTTCCCACCACTCATCTCAAAATGGATTCTGTAGAATATTTATTTTACGGAAAAGGGTGATTGAAGAAATTCTTAACAGCTAATATTATAATTTCTATGACGCTCACCATAACATGGTTTTTTTATGAACTAAAAATACCCCAGATATTCCCTTTCTAAATAATCTCAATCAAAAGTGGATTCTTACAAATTATACAGATCTACATCGAAATCTTCAATCATAATCGTTACAAATTTGAACAACTATCAAAACCTTTGAATTTCCTAGACCTTACACTACTATTTCCCTTGCTGAATTGAAAAACAGAATTATTCGTTTGATTACACAGAGCTTTTTCTAAACATTCCTTGGTTATACAGAAAGTCCAAATAACTGTCCATTCCTGGGAAATAATGGAGCGGAGACCAGTAGGGCCGACGACCATTATTTCCCAGGAATGGACAGTTTTTTGGACTTTCGCTAACTTAAAATACACCTTAAATATTAAGAACAAATCTTCAGATTATAACATTTTAAAGAATTTTATTTAATTTTGTACTGGTTTTCTTTTCATTTTCCCCGTGTTGTACCCAATAATACACAGGCAAATTCTAAGATCAAGCTGATCATCTACTCACTTAACGAATTATTTATGAACAGTATAATAAATACTAAAAAAAGATCTTGAATAAAGTTTATCCAGATTCATGTTTAAAGTCATTGGATACGCACGTCTTTCTTGTACCGGGATTGAAAGAATATTTATTTGCGTCTTTTGGTATCTCGGGGGAGACAAAAAAACTAGTATTTATGCGTATATGTTAATGGATTATGTGTGCTTTTCGTTTGATAAATCTTGTATGTAGAATCGTCTGATAAAAATGACATGGTACAACTAGAATAAATTTCCAGGTTTGTAACACTCTAGTATAGGTTATTTAACTAATAAGGGTGCGCTCGATTATAAGTCATATCTGAAACAAAATTTGATTCTATATTTCAAACTATTCTATTACATCATATAAAATTACACAAGAAAACAGATTTCATGTTTCATGCATAACCCAACATTTTTTTTATTTTCCTTTACTCATGACAACGAAAAAAATGTTATGCATGTTTTAGATCAGTCTTAAATGGCAATACAAGCAAACAGAAAATATTGTTCATTCTTCCCTATTATCAGAAAGGAGGCAAAAGGTTTTAGAAAAAAAACCCGCGCGATTAAAAACATTTCTAGATTGCGTTTTGTATGTCTTAACTTTGTGGAAAACTACTCTTTGATTTTTTGATTTCATTTACGCATTTCAAGATTAACGCCGTCATTTGCACTGCCGATACATGTATAACTGTTATATTTCCACTGGACATATAACAACTGTAAAGGAATTCGTCCATGTTACGCGTTTCTGTTGAAAATGTAATAAAAATCCCACCTAATATTTAAGCCTTATTCAAATGTTATCCATACCCCTCAAATTTTATTCATTAATACTATAATTCTAACAAATTTTAACAACGAAAAATCAAATAATATACTGAATACGCCATTTTGACCATTTCAGTTTCTTGAACTTTTTTCTTCTATTTAACCACAATATTATTGTAGAAACTATCCGAGTAATATTTCTTTCTTTAATTTACATATTACAATGGAACAAACGATTTTTGCTGTACAAATTCAAAATAAAACACTTTGAATTTCAAGCAAATCAAATCTGTGAGTGAAATATGTTATTCTCTAATTTTCCTTATTGAATAATGTTAATGTGCTCAAAATTACAAAAAAAATTAACTGAGTTAACACATTTGATATATTGTAGATGCACAGAAGAGGAATGGCACTCAATGGAAAATATTTGTTTTAAACAACTCGGATACTATCCGTGACAGAAATTCAGCCAAGATTTGCACCGGAAAAAAAATGTGGATATTGTTGTGCATGACATTTTAGTGAAAACGATACTATATGTCATACGGTCGAATTACGACTCGCAAATAAAAGCTGTTTATGAATAATGAGATATTTTGTGTTCATTGTATTACTACGATCCCAATTTTAAAAAATCCAGTATCAGCCGTTTTAGTAAGTTTTCAACTTCATTCAATATCGTATTACGTCCTTTAGAATTATTTCCATGGGTGAACACTTTTTTATGAAAGTAAGCATGGGAATATCCAAACGGCTAAACTTCCGGATGAATGAGGATGAACAATAGAAAATAACTCTCCATTCCGGAAAAATAAAGGAGAGTTTGAACAAAAGATTTACGTCACAGGTGTATTTTAACTTTAGGTAATGACTTTGTACCACGCTGATTCCGAGAACCAATACACCAAAGAACATATCATCAAACTGCTGGAATTTTTTGAAGGACAACATATTCATTGAGTTTGGTAGATTGATAATTCAGCAGACATGTGGTATTCCAATAGGTACTAATTGCGCAACACTACTGGTCGACTTGTTTTTCTACTCATATGAAGCTGGAGTCATACAGAACTTTCTCAAAGACAACAGAAAAAGCATCATGCAAAGTTCTTCATTTCACTTTCAGATATATTAATTATAACTCAATAACCCACATTTTATTGATTGCTTTCATCTCATATATCTCAGAAACCAGATATTAAGGACACCACCATGAGTTGGTTAACTGTTGTGGAATATCTGTTTCACAGTTGACGACGGATATGTTTCAAAAAATTGAAAACAACACGTCAAATAATTTTATGCGTCCGAAGCGCTTTTCTGGATTTACCTTCATCAGGAACGCTCAAAGCCAAACATTTGAAATCCGAGGGATGTATAAAACCGAAACAGTTGAAGAGCTATATGACAAAAATACCTAAAACAAATAGCCAAATTCATCTAAGGTCGACTTTGCCTGAGGGAGTTGAAACCTTAGTTTCTTTATAATTTCAAAATTTGTAAACGGACAATTTCAGAAAGGTTTGTTATAAATCATGTCAGTACCGAAGTACTGACTACTGAGCTGATAGTCCACCAGCAGAGGCATCGACCCAGTGATGTAAAAAATCTAATTGTCGTACCTACAATCCTGTTCCCTTTTTCCCAAATATGGCCTACCGAACACGACAGTTGCCACATGTGGAGCAGGATCGTCCTCCCCTTCATAAGCACATGAGATCAACCCCATTTTTGGCGGGGTTCGTTTTGATCAGTCTTTAGTTTTCTATGTTGTATGTTGTGTTTTGTGTACTGTTTTTTGCCTGTTGGTTCTTTTTTTTTTTCTTTTTTTGCCACGGCGTTGTTAGTTTATATTTCCGGCTTATGAGCTTGAATGTTCCTTTGGTATCTTTCGCCTCTCTTTTCCGAAAGGAAGGTCTGTTTCAAATGTTGATCTTTTCATCGATATTGGCACAGATGGACGACTTCAATCTAGAATCTATGACAAACCTGATGATTTGAATTTTCCATTTGTTATCTTCTCATTTCACACCAGTAACATACCCTCTTCTCCGTCGTATTACGTTGACATATATCTTTTCAAATACTTTACACGCGTGCATGTTCAGGCTATACGAACTTTATTAACAGTGGTATAATGCGTCTTACATAAAAGCTCCTCCAACAGAGTTATGAGTTATGAGTTATAAGTTTTACAGTCACCAGTTGTCTGATCCATAATCTCACCGATCGTTTCGTGTTCCCGATTGTGACATTTTGACTGAGGGTAAATATGGATGACGGTTGATGCATCCATAGCAGAAGTTGCTCACCCTGTCGATCCATCCATAGCAGGAGACGCTTACCCTGTCGATGCACCCGGCCTCGAGACTTTTAGAGTTCATGCGAACCCTCAGTTTTTTTTTCTACCTAGATGTGTCTTTTCTTATCCGTTTAACGAAATTTATATATCGGAAAATTAATGTCGCCTTGAGGACATCTGTCTGTTGTTGAAGATGACAATAACATCTATAAATCTAATGCGCCCACATCGCTTAAAGGAGTATCAACTCCAAA